TTGTGTTTACATAAAAATAATTTTCCCATGTTCCTTTCAGTCCTGGAGCTATCTCAGATGACACTGACTCCTCCCAGGCCATCTACACTGAATTTGATGACGAATTTGAGGAAGAGGAACTCGCCGCACCTATTGGTCAATGCACAGCACTCTATAATTTCCCAGGTACGATTATACAGCTTCACTCAAGCACTTGCAAATATCGTACCCACCTCTTTTCCTCTAAGTCTCTCCTCCATCTGTCCACAGGCTCCAGTGAGGGAACCATCTCCATGCAAGAAGGGGAGGTGCTGTTTGTAGTGGAGGAGGATAAGGGCGACGGGTGGACGCGAGTGCGGAGGAACAACGGGGACGAAGGCTACATCCCTACTTCTTATGCTACCATCACGCTTAATAAATGACCTCATCCCCTTTCCACCCACTGCAGCAGAGATGCACTATACCAAACACTATGAGTAGCTTCAGATTACCACTCATTATGTCACAACATGGCTTGCTGCTCCTCTTAGAGGGATAATTTAGGGGGGAATCACTGCACAATGGGCTAATACACTCCTCCTCTAAGGATGAATGAGTATCTCAGGGTGTGTATTATGTGAGTAAATGAGGTAGAGAAGGTTTGAATAATTTTTCTCCTTATTTTGCATGGAAAACAGTGCAGCAGGGTGCCATGTACACACAGCTATTGCTCAACAGACACATCAGTTCCTGTGGTGACTCTGTCTGATGCTGACTTTTGATAGCAGTCTATCATCAGAGCTGAGATATTTTGTCTGACCATGATCCACTCAACGTGTCCTTCACTAAGATCTTCCATCTGCAACTTGATGTGATTCCACGTCTGGAGCAAAAACCGTAACTATCTGCGCTGGGAGAAATCCAGCAGCGTTTTAACTTGAAGTATTTGCTTTGATGATTTGAGTGGCCAAAAATGACGTTTTACAGCAGTAAGTGTTACATATGCTTCCCTAAATGTGCAGTAACATGAAGTGTACAGTAACAAGAGTCAATAAGACCTAAAGATTTTGTGTATAGAAAATACTGAGCGCCCCAGTAATATTAAGTAACTCCTTTTTTTTTTTTTTAAGACCATTACACAAACACACAAATTGAAATACTCAGCAGTACAAAATTATGACAATCAAAGTCTCAAAATCTGCAGAAAAAAGCCACACTTCTCTAAGAATATGTAGTACAATAAATAGTTTGTTGAAATTAAAGAATATAATTTATTGAGTATATAAATAAGTGTTTGTATAATAAATAATCAATCACATTTATATAAGAGGTGACTGCACACATTTGCTATTTCAGATAGATCAACAATGCACAGTGTACACGCAACTAAGAAAAACTATTTTAGGCGACAAAAGCAAATTTAGGAGTTTCATATTTAAATATATGAAATAATATATTTTAGGCATCACAACACCACTATTGTCTTATTAGCTTTTTATTCATGATGAATAAAGATTGTATAGTTGAGAATAGATTTCTAAATGCAAGGGTTCAAGCCTCTGTTTTCAGCATTTGTTTTGTTTGCCTTTGGTTCAATCCAAGGCAGAACTGTTAATGTTTGGGTAAGTCAAGGTGCCTTCAACTTTGTGTATGTACCATACTCAGAATTCACCATTTTATTGCCTTTATAAATGTCAAGCACATTTCCAAGTTGACATGATGTCCTGTTTATTTCTTTTTGGTGAAATTCTCAATTGAAAGATTTTTAGGCAATTCGTAGACCTTTTGAGAGGAAATGTTGATTTTTAGTAGCAACTAAAATATTACATCCATACTATTATACATTTTGTAAGCAAAAATAAAAATGAATAATAATAATAATAAAAAAAATAATAGGGTCTTAAAATCAACACATTGATTTCACATGTTGATCATAATACCATTGTTTTCCATAGCTAACAAGTGCCGCCTGCTGGTAATAAGAGGTTGCTGTTAAGTGGAATTGTCATAAAGTGGCAGCTGTGGTCAATAGGATTTCATCCTCTCTGGAGTGAATACTCATATGTCAACTGACTTAATAATGCAGCAACATCGAGACTTCCTCGTAAAGTTTACATTTACTATTATAAATAGCGCTAAATAGGGAGGGGGAGGGGGATTTATGATGGGTTATTAAAATGAAACTTTGTTCAAGTACTGTTAACCACAGACATTATTTGAATAATAAATCAGTCGTAAAACAACCTCTGTATTTAACGCCACTGCGTTGCTTCAGAATCTTTACACATCTATATTACTCTGCTGCTCATTATTCTACTTAATAAGTGTACCTTGAATATTGGTGTTTTTTTCCATACTGCACAAAAAGCTTTTAAGTAGTGTAGACTATAATAGATCTTGAACGGTGAAATCACGACCTCTCGTGGCTCAGTGATTTATTAGGGAAGGCTTCCGAGAGTTCTTGGAAGTAACTGACAAATCTCCAAGAGTGATCTGAATGGGACAACTGGCAAGTATTATATAAAAAGCCCACAGATTGTAAAACGAACGTGTCAAAATATCTATATTTGACAACTTACTGAATACGCTGAACCCTTCAGCGTTTATATTAGTATTCTTAAGGGTTCAGCTTACAGCCTGTGACTGAAGACTCGCAATGCAGTTGATCTTTCTCCAGCTGTTCCCTCCTTGTCGCAAACTGTACAGCAATAATAAAAAAATAATAAATAAATATAAATAAATCAACATGTATACGAACGACTCATTGCTATACTATTAAATGATTTAAATTCTTAAATATTTTAATAATGTTATAACACAAAAACGAAAATATGCGTGTATGAATGAACAAAAACGTTGCTTTGCTCTCTATAAATGTACAAACCCCCTAAATAAACCGTTCTTTGATGAAGCATCAGTCAACAGGCCAGGTTATGTTCGCTATAGGCTACTGACTGAATTGGGAGGGACATAATGCGCTTTATAGAAATTATTCTCAGCTGTGAAATCTGTAAGAATCACTGAGCTTCTTCCACAGGTTCAGCATCAGTGCTTGTCTAGAGGGCGCCAAATCTAAACATATGCAAATGTGCAACCAACTAGTACAAATTCTCTTACATGCTGTGATCTTGTAAATCAGCCTCATCAGACAAATAGGCTATGTATTAGGCCTACACTGCTGATAGAAAAATAGGCTAGTTTATGTGTCAGTAGCTAGAAATTTTACATTCCATTCAGTCCAGATGGTGGATGCTTGTATTTAATATCTGACATCCGACAGTCTGTCTGATGCTCAGAAAACAGCATTTGTTTTGTAGGTGTATATGTATCAAGAGGAAAAAGACTCCTGTCTCTAAATAGATTCGGTTATCATGCAATAAGATCATTAATTAATATACACATATTTATGTTTTAATATACTGTGTAAAACTCTGAAGTTCTGTTGCACTATTCCAAGTGGGAACAAATTCTGACTTGAAATCAGTAAACGTGCCCCAGTAGGCTATTGGTATCTAATACATCATAAAATTGTCTTGTCATGCACTGTTTATGTTCACATATACGCACATATATGATAATTCATGAAAACTAACATGAAAAACAAAAAAGGCTTCTAACACTAGCTTGCTCTATTCTTTTTTTATTCTATCTGCTTTCTTTTTATTTATTATATAATAAAAAAACCTTGCTACTTGTACTGCGTTAAGCTAACTGAGACTTGTTATAGCACTTGCATATCATTGCTCTCTTGTTGATTTTGATTGCTTCCATTGTCCTCAATTGTAAGTCGCTTTGGATAAAAGCGTCTGCTAAATGACTAAAAGTAAATGTAAATGTAAAACTCATTAAATTAATTAGGCCTATTACTTTCAGGTTTAAACATTTTAAAATGTCTGTGACAGCTCTTGCTGTCCTCATCACCTCACCATCACAAACACTTTTCCCAGTTCACCTTTGGAATACTGTTTTCAAAATACTATGTTTGAGACAGAAACATCCTGATCTTGCATACTATTTGGGGCAGATATGCAAATTGGGACACAGCGGAGGTCTGATGTCTTGGATTCTTGATACCAGGTTTCCTGTGACTCCATTTCTTGATTCCCTTGTGTCCACTGTCCAGAGCCCTGAGGAGTTTTTAAAAATCACATCTCATTATCTGCCCAAAACATGACATCTGATAGACCTTTATAAATGCTTTTTGTCGCACATATCTTGCTTCCGATTTTTAGAAGACATTGTTAAAGATATACTATAGCTACTCTGCAGTGAATCAGTAGGCCTACCTCTGAATACAGCCATAGTTATACTGCAATTAGAGCTAATTGCATGCTTTTTGCAATTAACCCAATTATCCGGGCCGTTCCTCTTCCTCGTCCCCTATGTTGCGTCAGAACACATACTTAACTGGAATTGGTCTCCACTTTGTAGTCTTGAAAAGGAAGATAATGGCTGGCCTATTCAATAAAGCAGCTGTTGTTAATGTGCTGACATGAAAACCCATTCTAAGTAAGGCTAAGTAGGTTGGAGGTATACCAGAGTATTTTCACTTTCATCTGCTATAAACTGACACCAGCCTACTGTAATGCATAACAAACATACTCTGCATGCATGCATTCTTACATAAAGAAGCATTAAACTCATCTGTAGCCTAATAATGTAAAGTATTTTATGAACATTTTACAAATGTATTAGTTAAAAAAAGTTGCAATTTCCTTGGTTCTGTGCTGATGAGGGGTGAAAAATATGAGACAATTACAGATCCAAAGAAATGCTTCATTGCGAATTTCCTGTGGATGAATAAGCTTCAAATAATTATAATTATTCGGGACTGACTGTATACATTTTATACAATTCAATTATTTCATTTTATACATAACAACATTGCCACACTTTATAAAATTTAATAATAATAATAATAATATAGTTCTGATTTCAATCACATTAGGGAGTTTTGCTTCAGTCACGCGATTGGCTGCTGCTGGATTGAGACGCGAATGCCAGTCACGCGATTGGCCGCTGCTAGCTGCTGGTTTCAGACACTTAAACGGCTGCTAAACGCGGGCAATGGCGTGAGTTTGAGGCGGGGCGCGGAGTGTTTGAGAAACATGTTTGAAAACAGTCGTAATTGTTTGACGCTAGTGAAGAGAAATCGCGCTCTTCATTTTCAAGAAGGTTTGTGACTTTCTACTGTATATGCACTCGAGTCATTTGCAGTGGTTTTAATTGAAATTATCTTAAAGCATCAATTTTTGACATGCTATTTGAATTTCTTTGTGTTTTCATTGTGTTGTGTGGTGCTTTTATTGTGTCTCTTTTGTTTGCTCCTCAGGCAGTGTGTTACTTCATTTGTATGCTTTAACATTACTCTAGAAAACACATTAAAGGTCAGTTTTACCATTACACTGTGCCAACCTGGCTGAAACTGATAGGTCTCTGGTAAAGAAGGGGTTTCTGGGGAACAGGCTCTTCACAAAGATAAGCCACCCCACCACTGGAACCATCACTCTTTCACTGGTAAGAGCAAGACCAGCACTTCATAAAAGCAGATACATAAAACATCAGCTCCACCATTCAAGATTATTCTGTACTCAGCAAAAAATACATATAACAGCTGATTTGATTTTCTTATCATTCAGGGACTTCACACAGTGCAAAACCTAATTTTCTTAAGTATTTTTGTCTTCTTCTTTAGTGAAAATATCTAAAAATCAAAGATTAATTTACAAATTTAATATCACATGTAAGTCATTAAACTAATTCAATAAAATTAACAAATTTAATGAAATTTAATATAAATTAAATGTATTTAACTTACTTTAATTGGTGCATATATATATATATATATATATGGCTTGTTTTAAGCATAAATCCACATTTAAAAATTCATTTAGCAAGATTTATGCTTAAAACAAAAGAAATAAGTATTTACCCAATGGGGTAGGAAAAATAAACCTAATTCAAGAAATATATAAGAAATAAATAATTAAATAAAACTTACTTGTAAACAAAAATCCTGATTAAGAAAATTATTTTTTTGCAGTGCAGTTGATATCAGGATGAGTAAGATGCCACAGTATTATAATATTTGTAAGTTTTACAGCAAGGTTATTTGTGCTAGAGACTGTATATGGCCCCAAGGTTTGTGTTTATTGAACGTTGCTCATGCAGCAAGAATTATTTACACTTAGATGGAATAACAGCCAAATCTGTAAGGAGGCAATACCTGCATTCAGTTAATGGAATGATAAATTATGTTTTTACTGTACAATTTTGATACGTCTAGTCTGGAGGTTTCATGTATTACTCTGGTGTATAATCTATAAACGACTAATGATTTTAACTTCAATAAAACATGGCACATGAGCACTCAAAATATTGATTTAACATGACATATACTAAAGAGTAGAAATATGAGCATGACAGAGGCCGTTCCCAAGGGAGATCGATGAATTGTTTTGTCCATTTCCTTGTCAGCATGTGTGACTCACTGAGTGAGCTGCTGGTGGTGATGAGGTGTGTAAGTGTGTGTGTGTCCATGTATGCTCTTTATGTGTAAATGTTTGATGTATTTGATGTCACACTTGTGGCTGCCCTTCTGCTTGTATTGTCATACGGTAACTGTATATATGTCTGAGTGGTTTGTTTACAGCTTCTCAAAGGACCAATTTCCGCTTTGTGTTCGTAGCACAGTGGCTGAATATTTTCAGGGATGGAATTGCCTATCTGAACATTTGTGAGAGCTCTTGAATGTTCTTTTCACACAACATTAGTCTTCTAACTAGAGAATGAGGCACTTGTGTACAGCACTATACAAACATTATCCTTCAGTACTGCAGTTCAACCAACGCAGTTATTGTAAATGTTCTGTCTGTCTGTCTTTCTGTCTGTTTGTCTGTCCTATTTAAATTAGGGAAATTGTGAAGTTTTCATTTCCATTTCAGCTAGTTTGAAAGTGCCATTAAGGCTTTTATGTTTCCCATGTAGCTTGCAGGTAAAATGTAATTAATGGATTAGGTAGAATCACAGATTTTGTGTTAAGATTAACGGTTGACCTTTCACAATGTTCTTGATGCATCTGTCTCTTCAGTGCCAATGTTTTCACGTTTGAACAATATCACCCTCATTTTCATTACTGAGTGTTGCGACAAAACAAGCAATTACTTTGCCGCCTAACAATGCTGATTAAAGTTTAAAAACTAGTTTCATCATGAAGTCCCTGTTTAAAGGGAGCAGAGATAAAAGAGGATGCTCTGTTGAGCCGTGCTATGCACAGGGCAGCACAAATCAGCCTTTGAGGGCATCAGTCACTATACGTCCCATTTGAGAGTCATGACAGCCAGTAAATGATGAACCGCCCACATACTGTGTTTTGACCCCAGAGTGTTTTCCTGTAAGCTGAAGAGACCTCTCAATCAAGACCATTGCTTTGTGACAAAATCCCAATTAAAAAAGATTAAGTGCATGTTACCCGTTTAAAAATATTTGCTCTACAATTCTTAAAGGTGGCTAACTATAGTGCTCCAGTTATTGAACTGGTAGCAACTAAATTTCCTTTAGAAAATATGAGTGCTGCATGCTACAGTGCTGACGGATAGTTGGTTACTAGGGAGTTCTGGATGGTTGCTAGGTTGTCAAAAGAGTCCACCCACAATCTCTTTGATATGGTCTCTAGATATGTCTCGGTTCTTTCCATCAGTGTAGGATTCTTTCACCTGCTTTATCATCCACCAGGTAAAAATCGTACGTTTGATCGATTGGAAAAATAACACACCTCTCCTCCACAAAGCCGCACCATTTGAAGTATTTTCACATCTGTAGCACAAACGATTTGTTCAGATCTCTCACCCTAAGCATGAGCTATAGTAATAGTTGTGCTTGCTTTAATAAGCATCACAAATTACAGACCTCCAGTGATTCAGATTAGCTCTTAAAGATTAATATAGTTACTTTATTAAGCCGTAGAAATCTCACACTGCTGATAATGAGTCCTTCTGGTCATGCAGACCAGCTTTAGTTCACTGAATGGAGGCATGAGAGAGAGAGGTGCAGAGATGAAGGGGAGGAAGAAGAGGGAGGGGAAGGGGGGAGAGCTTTGTCGTTTATCTTTCGTTCTCGTCTGTGCGCCTGCCAAGGGGGATGAATGGGCATCTTTAAATAGCTCTGATTAATTAAAGTTTTTAATTGCTAACGGTGCTGGCCTCTTGCTGTCAGTCAAAG